TGTATAAAAAAAATAATTTATATTTATCTTTATAACAATAATAAAATTATTTTTAATATTAATTAGAAAAATAAAATTATTTATCAACTAATATATTTATATTTCAAGTAGATATGATATAAGTTATAAAAACCTAATATAATATAACACATGTAAGCCATAAGTAACACATATCATTCTAAAATATATAGTAATATATTTTTTTTTAAAAAAGTAAACTAAATTTAATATAGTTTTCTCAATAATTTTAAAATTTAAGAATAATTTTGTCACAAGCACCCGTGTAATAACACGGGTGTTGTACTAGTAACATAATAATTAAACAAACAAATGATTTATTTCAGAAAATTTAAATTCAATATATAAATAACAAAATAATTTTTTTATTATTTAAAATAAATCCTATATTTTAAGAATTCAATAAATTATTTGTTGTACACCTACTACATTCACGGCATCAAAAAAATATTTGTATTATTTAGAAAGAATCCTATATTTTAAGAATTCTTTAAAGTAACTTGATGATTCTATATACTTTAATCATCCGATTTCCTTATATAACAACATTATTAACCAAACACACGCTTTATTTATTAAAAAAAAGATTGGATTCATTATATGTCTAACATCGTGATCAATACATCATCACACGCTAAGTGATATATAAAACTCATCATCCATAACCATATAATACATGAAAAATATAGATGTTAAAATATTATCTATTAATATAAACTGTTAGCAAACTAATATATTGTTAAGATAAAGTTTTAAAAAAGGTTTTAAGAAACTAGGTTTTAAGAAACTAGCCCGTTGTGATACTCACTAGTTATACTGGACATGTCAAACAAGTTATCCCTCAAATATTCAGAGTTATCCGAACACATGTGTCAATTTCTGGTGTTTTGTAAATGTATATGTCGAATTTTTGAGCGTCATAATCCAAAATTCCAATTTTTGGTGTTTCGAAGTAGTCCATGTAGATTTGAACTTCTAGCCATACCTCTCGGGACTATTAAAATTGTAAGAAACTTAACTTATATTATAAATATTGTTAAAAAGTTAATAACTTTTGTATTTGTTAACAATTTTTCATATATGTTATATCAAATTAGTCATCTGTTGAAGAACTTTGATTTGACATTCATATTGCATATATAGAATAAAAAAATAAATTTATTTCTTTATTGTAAAAATTAAAGTATCTAAAAAAATAATAAAATTACTTATCAATTAAAAAATTATCTATAAAGTCAATATATGATGAGCTAGATCATAATAATATATATAATTATGCAACTTTTTTTTAGAAAGTATTTGAAATACAAATAAAAAACTTCTCCTTTTCATTTTAAATATAATTTTTTTAATTAGCACCCGTATACTATTTAGCACGTGTGTAATACACGAGCTTTGTACTAGTTTTGTTAGTTTAATACATTAATTAATGACCTCCCTTCATATGCTTGCCCTACTTTTGCAATTGAAAATATGAAATATTTCAATTTATTTATTTAATTTGTCTTACGAAGATTATTTTTAAAGAAAAAAGTTGCCATTATCGTGGGAGCCAAATCTATTGCTGTGGCTGCTTCGTTTTTCTGATTTCTTATGATATCTGTTCATGCAGGGTTTGTCGTATTTGCATTCAATTTTCAAGGTACACCGAGATATTAAAGGTGGTAATATTTTGTTGACTGAGCAAGGAGAGGTCAAACTGGGTAAGTTTTAAGGTTCACTTCATGTGCAAGTGTCCAACATCTACCTTTTCAAATCCTGAATATTTTGTAGTTGTGTAGTTGGCCAGTTAAGACAAAGTTGTCTGACTAATCACAAACTTCTGTTTGGATATGCTTAGCTGATAGCTTATGCGGCAGTCATTAAATCACTATTGATGCAGCAATCACTGAAAACAAATATTATTATCGTCAGGTGATTTTGGAGTTGCTGCGCAGTTGACAAGAACTATGTCCAAGCGTAACACGGTACACCTGACTATTCATATCAGAGTGCACGCATATAAATATATTTCTTTCCTCTCCATCAGAGAAAAAAATTAACTTTTTATGCATGCATTCATTATCAATGCTAAATTGCTAATATTCTGATGTCCGACCTGTTCTGAGTCTTCTGACATTTTTTTTACTGACTATTACGTGCCTGTGCTCTTGTAAATGAGGTTGAGGCTCTTGCAAGGGATTGTGTGGAGTGGGTTTAAAACATGAAATGCTTTTGAATAGGTCGGATACATTGATCATCTGAAGAATGTGAATTTATGATATACTGCTTGATCCGGTTAGGCACGGTGTTATATCATCAGAACATTATCTTTAACTGGGACCTAGAATTTAAGGGTTGAGAAATGTGTTTACCAGAATACACCAGCCCTGGACTGCTCCTGAGGTCACTGCAGAGTGTCTGTTGAGCCAACTCTGAAGTCTTATATTTTAGACACCTTGAGAAAGTGGGATACAAGAGTGGATTTTGAAAGTGTTGGTGCTTGATACAAGTGGAGAGGTCCTTTACAGTTAGTAGGGTTAATAGTGAAAAATAAATGCATTGTTGAATTATTATGAAATAGTGAAAAATAAATGCATTGTTGAATTATTTTTTCATAATATTTTCAGTATCTACATGAGACGACTATTATAAATAACATTTGTTCTGGGACAAACGGACGAATGTGATGTATCTTAATACCAGCTTCCGTAAGTTTAGCATATTAGTTGTCTTCGTCATATAAATTTTACCATTCATGTGTCTCAGTTTATTGGTACACCACATTGGATGGCTCCTGAAGTTATTCAAGAGAGCCGTTATGATGGAAAGGTACATTATCTGTTTTGATGTTCATAAGTCGCAAGTACATATTAATGAGAAATGCTTTAAAGTTTACTCTTTTCAATTCATTTTTCATTTTGGGTGGTGTAACGTTTTCTCTTTTGGGTCTAGAATATCATATGTTGTTCCAATTGCTCAGGTAGATGTGTGGGCTCTTGGAGTATCTGCAATTGAAATGGCGGAGGTATATTTTGTCTATATGTTCAATTTTTTTTTTTTTTTTTTTTTTTTTTTTTTTTTTTTTTTTTTTTTTTTTTTTTTTTTTAATGTCTTGTTTTATTTGGGTTGAACTAAAATTGTGCACTAATTCAGATCAATATTTTATGCTATTTTATTTCTGGCTGTATTGTTGTTTTCCCAGGGACTTCCTCCGAGAGCAACCGTTCATCCTATGAGGGTAAGAAAGATAAATTGTACATGACTTGGATTTCATTTTGCATTGATTTACATTTAATGGTAGGTACTTAAAATGGGATGTGATATTGAGCTCTCTCTTGAAAATCTGAGACTTGAAAAATTTCAGTAAGTTCAGAGAGCAAACTGGACTTTACTAAGATTTGATATGACAGACCAGAAGGGCATGAACCAGAACTATTGCTAGCGCATTGACAACTTCAATGATGATTAACATGCTAGAAGATGCATGTTTAATAATATTATCACTATACTTTAGCTACAATACTTTAGCCACGATACTGGAAATTAGGAAAGAAAGAAATGAATGTTTAAAAATATTACCACTATATTTTGACATTATTAGAGATGAAATATGAAATGTTTAACAACTAAGGTGGCAAATAGTGGTTGCATATTGTAATTCACTAATTCTGCCACCTATATAAGTAAGAATCGGTTGCTGAGGGATGATCTTCAATCAATTTGGCGTTGAAGCTTCCACAGATAGTAGATGACAATGTCCTTTATCTTGAGAATTACTAAGTTAAAATTTTCTTTTTGAATCTAAGCTCCAATTAGGTTCTTACTGAGCTCTAATTAGGTTCAACTTGTAATACCTATTCTAGTTAATGTCTCAAGGGGTAACATATACTTTCCTTATTTATGATGTTTGTAACGACTTATGCTTAACACATTCGAAACTTGTTTCAGGTATTGTTTATGATCTCCATTGAACCCGCTCCAATGCTTCAGGAAAGAGAGAAATGGTTTGTCTTTGAATATTTCTTTCCGTTTTAGGTATTTCTGGTGTAAATTTTAGCAGTGATCTTTTAACATTTATTTATACATATTTTATTCAGAACTTTGTTGATACCAATGAGGGCTTAATTTCAATTATCCGTTTTGCTGTACATTCAAACCCCATCAATCCCAATTATCATTGAACTTTTGTATGAAATATCAAAGGACATATTTATGTTCGAGGGAACCAGAGTTACAGTGGTAGCAAGGATTTCATGCATCCTACAATCACAAAAACTTGGCTTGGAGTTCAGAAGCAATATAATCTCGTCATGCTTGAATCGAGTGAAGTCATAGTGATAAGGTGTTTTGTGATTCTGTATCTTGTCACACATTATAAACTTTTATTTGAAATTATTGGGTCAAATTAGGCGAGTAAAAGATATACTGCTTTCTCCAGAGTTTGTAGCCTAATTTTGTCTGGGCCCAAAATACGATTTGTGCATGCACATACAAAGGGAGCATGTTTCAAATTTTCAATAGCGATTCTGCCTGTCGCTTTAAAAAATGAAAATTTTGAATTCTATGAAATTGAACTCTAGGACCATACTTATAGTCTCTCCTGATATTTTTGCATTTAGACAATTTTGGTTTATACATTTAAATGATTCTAACTGCTTGCTTCCTATATTGTTGGTGACTGGGTGGTTGTATTCTGTAATTTCTGTTAATTATTAATCTCGTGAATATATGTGGAGAACATGAAAAATGTGGTGTTCAGTTTATTGATAGAATATATATCTTCGTATGATAGATGTTTAACTGATAGAACTTATATGCTCGTATATATAGATGTGTTCTGTTCAATAGTTCTCTCTCTCTCTCTCTCTCTCTCTCTCTCTCTTACTCTCTCTCTCTCTCTCTCTGTGGTTATAGTATTATATGTATATTACTTTCTTTGTGTTGTATAGATTTGATATGTAATTGCCACAGGTCACTCTTGTTTCACGACTTTGTTGCAAATTGCCTGGCGAAGGACCCACGAGTTCGACCTACAGCTGCTGAAATGTTGAGGGTATGCATAATCTTACATGTTGGTTCCCCTTTTGGCTAACTGTAAGTTTTCAAGGTTCAGTGTGCATTTTTAGATGTTCCTCAAGCTCCCATTTAATCACAAAGCTTAGTGTTGTCTGCAACTCCAAATTGCACAAGTGTTCAACTGAATGGAAACTTTGACGACATTATCATTTGTGTGACATCTTCAAGAAAAAAGTCTCCTCTTGAATGCAGATTGAGGCTTTCTTCATATGAACTAGTTATTACTTCACAAGGTTATGTCAAAATCTGGTGAAGTTTAAACCATGTTCATGCATGCCTATAAGTACCTGATGTAGTACATAGTCTGAGATTCCTGTAGATATTCTTTGTATTGTAGATGATATTGACTTGCTATTTAACCATGGATGAATATTTGCGAAATTGGGTGTAGGTGATCATGCAAAAAGAAATGCTCTGAAATAAACTATAAGGATAATTGCTAAGCCTTGAGAGATGGATTGCACCCATAAGCTTTTGTATAGTGAGCAGTTATTATTTCTTTTGACCAATTCTTACATTCATTTTTTGCTTTCTGTAGCACAAATTCATCGAAAAATGCAGAGGTGAAGCATCAATTTTGGTGCCGAAACTTGAAAAGGCAAAGGAGATCCGAGCGGCAATGGCTTTGCAAGCACGGAATGTTTCTTCAGATGCAACACTGCCCAGAGAAGGGGTAGACTTAATTTTAGTATGATTTAGGGACGAAATAATTCAAGGACTAATTGAATAGCAAAAACGGATAATAGAAAAGGAACAACCACGTACCTTATAATAATCCAATTACCCATTTAAGATTCTTTTCTATTTAAATAATAGCACCCTTCAGTAATTAACAAAACACAATCCTCAAGGTATGTGTTTGTTATACGATAAGGGGGTATTGGTATTGTGGAAGACAGTTGAGTTTATAAGTAACTAGGGTGAACTTCAAGGTTTTTCTATAATTTCCCATTGATTTATTTAATATTTTGTTGTTTGATTCTGTTTCTCTCTTTGAAATTTTGAAGGGAAATATCCTTGTTTATCTGCTTTCTGACACCGACAGTACATTCAAGATTTTCTAATTGTTAAGTTCGTCATTTCACGCCTTGCAGCCAGTGAGTGGTTCAGCTTTAAATGAAGCCATTACCAGCACTGTTCCATCTAGACCTAATAATGCTCAGCATAGTACCTCGGATGCTACTGTTAAAATGGCTCCGTCAGAAATAGTACAAACTGCAGCAGAAGGTGATCTCCCCTTGCATTTGTATCAGAGGAATCAATGCCTATTTAGTTATGGTCCATTCTATTTCTATGACATCATAATAAAATAGTACATTAGAAATAAACAAACAGGAATGGATATGACAAATATGAAAAACTTTTCTGAAGTCGCAACCTGATTACCACAATGACTCCGTGAATCTTTAATATATCTAGCATTCTGATCAGTAACTTTACGACCAGATGATTTTGGAACTGTGGTAGTACATGATAGAGTTGACAGTAAAACAGCTACTCTACCTGCTTCTACAAGAGCAGAACAATCCTCTGCTGGCACTGGGCATGTTAGAAGACCTTCTGTCGGTTTGCCCGGGGATAAGGCAACAGAATTTCGGTACTCCCTTCTTGCCCTAAATCTTTTGTTGCTAGTTGCCACTTGCCATAGTTTGCCATATGTTCCTTTACTAGTTCAATTTTCCATTTCCCTTTTGCTTCCTGTGATGAAATCAATATTAACACGTCATACGTTCCTTATATGTTCCATTAAAAGATATTTCAACGTGTTGCTCACTTGGAGGATGTGCTGAAGCATTTTACCCTTATGTGGTGTTATGTGAAAACCCTTGATTTTGATTTTTCATGCGGCGGATCTGAATGGGAATTTGCTCGAGGGGAATAGCTGAAAAGTGACAACACAGAAGAAGCACCGAGTATTTGTTAACTATTCTTGAATGTTATCTGAACCCATGTGAACTTTTCATTGTCTTCTTTTTATTAATTTTTATGTGAAAATAAATATATGTTTGGATATTGGGTGCTTTGTTTTTATTATGTTTTGTGTGAATGAAAATTGGTTTGGATATTGAATAGAAATTATGACTTCTATTACATAAAAGAAGGTAATATTTTGGGAGACTAAGAAATTTTTGAGTTTCATTTTTTAGTTTTGTCTCAAGATGGTAAATGTCACGATATTGAGATTTGTCTGCCATGCAACTTACAATATGATTTGGTGTCTAACTTGAGTAGTTTTACATCTAGTAGAAACTGTGTTTCTGATACTGTACAGATCAAACGGCAAATTAATTTTTAGTGTTCTCTAACTAAAGCACGTGCATAATAATCTGGCAGGACGGGGAATCTTGCTGACGTGGAGCACCCACCTGCTTCTCAACCCGCTGAGCAAAAAACCACCAAGTCAAATAGCATTCCCCAAGTGACTAGTGAAACTGTCAGTAGAAAAGCATTGGACAAGGTAAATACAATCTTCTGAGTCACAAGTTATGAGCATTAGATGCTGTAGTCCTCACGTTGATTTAATTACGAAGCTTACCCTGAGGTTTAGTCTGATTACAAGAGTCAGCTTATTTTATTAATTTTCAAACATCCATTTACAGTAAAACAGATACAAACGTATTTTGAAAAGATTGCTGAACCTTTTCTAATTAGACTAAACATCAGCGCTATTTCATGATTTACATTTTCCCACCTCTGTTTTGGCTGTGGATTGCTTATATGGTTATTGGTCCATAACAGAAAACACTTCATTTGGTTTAACCTAATTACAAAAGCTAGAAAATAAAAATAATATGATCCCTTAGTTTTTAAATTGTTTTTTTAGGTTGGATTTTTTTTTCTAGTTTGTCGTTTCAGACTATTCTTCCAATTATAATATAACAAATCTTAAAAAATCTGTTAATGTTAATTTACCGTAAACACTTTATCTTCTTAAAATTAAGAAAGTGATATCTTAGTATAAGATTTATGGAGATATAATGATACTAGGCAAGAGTTTGCATTGTTAATTCTTTTATTTTTGGCTAGAACGAACATCTATTTAAAAAAGAATTAACATTTCTCTTTTATAATTATAAATATTCCATGAATTTTTCATCTTAAGAAAAAGCCTCCCTGTCGGGAGGTAGACGTAAGGTAGTAATGCACCTTAAGCGTCTGTATATTTGTTATTTTGAAATGGGTTTCCCCATAATTACTAATTAGACTAAAGCTAGTGTAGTTTTTGTAATCGCTATCCGATGTTAATTAATATATGTTTACATTGGTACAATCTCTGGAAACCAGCTTTGGTCCATATACACTGCTGGTAATACGGTGCCGATTCCATTTGTAAGGGCAACCGATATTTCCCCCATTGCCCTTTTGTCTGACAATGTGCTTGGAGGTTGGCACAAAGATGATGGAGGAAATATAGCTGTAGAGGCAATGCAAGAGCTTTTTTCTGGTGATTCTCAGCCCAAGAAGGGCAGAAGCCGGCAAAACGAGGTTCTTTTTTATTTTCGATATTATGATGAAATTATTAGAAGATTTGTGCATTTCTTCTTAATATTGATATTTATTATTCTGACTTTCAGGCGCCCCTCCCTCCAAGTGTATATCAAAGGGTCATATGTAGTCCAACTCTAATGAATCTTGCTCAGGCTTTAGCGTACCACAAAATGTAAGAGCTTTGTGGTTAACTCTGTACCAAATTGAATCCAGAATTGATGCCAGAGGCCCAGAATTACCGTTTGAAGTTTTTAAAATTGCAAAATAGCCCCAGTATTTGATAATTATTTTGTTCTTAACAAATTATCCCATCAATTCAGTAGGCCATAGGTGCAATTGAAAATTTTTGAAATGCAACAGGTGTTATTTGTAAGAGAAAAAGAAGATGCGAATATTTTATATTAGGCTAACCTTCTTGACAGATGTTCCGAAATATTCCTGATTGATCTGCCGAAGTGAAAAAATATTTTTATTCAACTGGTATGTTTATTTGATGTGGGCCGTTCTTGTAGGTGTTATGAGGAGATGCCCCTTCAGGAAATGCAGGCAGAGCAAGAACAACAAACCATTCAGAACCTTTCGGACACGCTCCGAACTATCCTGCGATTTTAGTTATATTTTACAGTATTTTCGGGTTGTTTCATGTTTCTCGTGTTGTTTTTCTGTAATTATTTATGTTTCATTTCCAGGTATGTGTGCCAATTGTTTATTACATAGGCTATGAAGTTATTATGTTGGCAGAAGCAAAGTCTGCATTTGTAGTGATATGTATATTTGACGGTGTAAACATTTAGAATTTACTTGTCATTGCAATTTCATCATGTGTCTGTTAAGTAACATATAAATTCTCGATTGAGTTTGCATGAAGTATGATAAGAGAAAATGTTGCAATTCTATAAAGTCGTAATTTTTAGCCATGTTTCTGTTACTCAACTGCTATTGAAAGTTAGAAAGTGTCATTCCAGTTCCACTATTGGATGCCCGTGCGTGCTTTATCCATATTTGGTGACTTTTGATATTGCCACCTTGATATTGTGACGTATTATAGTAAAGTAAAAATTTTGTTACAAGTTCGTACAACAAGCAAAACAACCAAAGATGGAAACAAAAGAGAAAGAAAAATAGAACAACAATCAAAGCGAAAAATTTGAAACTGGGTTAACAGATGCACGAACAAACAGTTAGCGCCACGAGTGGGCTAAAACATAAAACCAATACCCAAATTTGAAAGATGGGTAACCAATCTGATCTATCTGCCCAAGCGAACGGAAGCGGAGAGGGTGTCGTCAGACTGAAAGATGTGCCTCTGGGGAGCGGAAGCACAGATGCAAACTCATTTTGGGCCTGATTATATACAGGTTTGGGTTCCTGCTGTAGACATTGAAATTTTAATATTTTATTAATTAATGTCATTTTTTGGACATAAATTGAAGATAAATAAGATATTTAATTAATAAAAGTTATTATTTATTGTCCACCAAGTCAAATATTAGAATAAGGAAAGAGATTATATCAAATCTTAGGATAAGAAAAAGATTATATCAAATCATAAAGGACAAATCAAATTGATGTCTTCTTCTCAAGACTCTCTCTCCTACACATATTAATAGGGCTCTCATCAATGCCACAAATGACACCTCTAAAATATCAAACGCACCTCAAAATATCAAACACATTTCAAAAACAAAAGTCTCAAATTCAAGAGCTCGCCCGAAGTCCGTTCAATGAAGAAGAAGGCCAAAAAGAATAAAAAGAGGCGGCGGCTCTTCCTCAAGAAGTAAAGAGACAACTTTAACTCCTCTCAAATCAATCCAAGAGCATCAATGACATTCAAGAAATATTCAAGCCGCGTTCGTCGAGAAGTTCAAGCAACATAGCGTTTGAGTCGGGAAAAAACTCTCAAGCCCTCGAATCAACATTATGCAAGCTCAAATCCATATTCTAAAATCCAAATCCAAATCCATGAAGAGAAGACTCAGAAGTGATAAGTAGATATTGTACCCGCAATATCGTTTGACCTAAATAAATCAAGTTGTACCAAAATTTTATGTTTCTCATAAATTTTTGTTGTTACACCTGCCTCAATCCGCTACCCTGTTGGGAATTTTCCTAAAAAAAGAACCTAAGAACTTTGTTAAAGAAAATGCTTTTTATGATAGGATGACTTTGTCCTTTAATTTCAAGTTATCTTATTTAAATGCATTTTATACATAAATAGGGGTGTAATTACAAATTGAACGATCAAAGAGAGAAAGTTGATCAATATTTGTGAATCATCACTAAATTATTCGAAGAATTTTGGAGGATGGAGATATCATTATTGGTGATTAAGATGATTCAGTGAAGGCCAGTGGCGAAACCAGCCGGTCATCCCGGGGAGGACCCAATTTGCTGAGGCACACAACCCCTACTCTGGCATCCCGTGGCGCCCCACCCCCACTTCAGCATCGGAAGGACGCTCAAAGGGCCTTTGTGGACGCTCTCAAAAATTTTCGCAGGATATAAAGGAATACTCTAGATATTTTTCTAAAAATCAAACTAAGTCCGGGATTAAACTGGTATACTTAAACTGAATTGTTTTAACTCGAAAAATACTCGAATTTATACTAATAAAAATCTCGGACTCAATTATAATAATAATCAAGAAATTATACCTCATTTCGAATAGACGAAAAGCTTAAAAAAGTGAGAAAACGAAGCCTCGAACGATCGAACTCGTCCTCGAAAAATTTGCTCCTTTTGATACTATTTAACGCAGAAATTCAAACTCCCATAATAAATGCTCGAAACTTCAAAAAATACGAAATTTGTCCGTATGGAATCGTGCTTGAATTGTCTACACGCTTCAACTCGATTCTCGTTAAACCGAGGTCACACGCAACCTTACGGGACCCCGCAAAACGGCTTTTTATTCTTCTATTATGCGCACTCGACTTCGAGCTTCTCAAAATAAATGCTCGAAATTTCGAAACGTGAAATAAATTTTACGAACGGCTTCTACTATTCTCGTGCTTTCAAGAAAGCACTCCCGCTAATTTTCAGCACGCCTAACGAGGGCCGACGGTTACCCGAAGTCTAGACATGAAAATGACAATAAAATCACCGCCGCTGCTACTTTTTTCTCAACTTCGGGCTACCCAAAATAAATGGTCGGGACCTCAAAATCATAAATCGATGCCACCAACGCACTCTCCGCTTCCCGTATTTTCATAAAAGTATTTTTCGGTAATGATCGACTCGGTTTTTGAGTCCCGTCGGTACACTGCAAATCGGCTAATTAACCAACTCAAAATATAATAAAAATAAAAAAATTATTAAATTCTGCTGCTGTTATAGTTCTCCTTGTCCCGAAACCAGGATCCCGTTTCGGGGAGAGCCCAATTTACCTTTAAAAAATATTTTCACGACAAAACCGGTGGCACCCCTCCGACCATGTATGTACCGCATGAAACCGGGGAGGGCCCAACATGCGCACTCAAAGGAAAATCTTCTAGTTCCAGCAAAATCCTCCATGTTTAGCATAAAAATGATGGGCAAAGGATAACCGAGTTACCCGACTCGGGTCGATCTCGAAGGAAGGCTATTCGGAGCTTCGTCTACTATATGATCGTCCAAATCACAA